TTAGTAGAAGGTTTAACTAAAGGTTCAACAAAAATAAATGACGACCCAATAGAAAGACCCTCAGCGCAAACCAGTTCGACTGAGGTAACACAATCAACAAAAACAATAACACTACGATTGACACGAGAGGCAGCTACAATACTTTTTGCCCCAACAATAGAGGGTATTGCCTGTACATAGGCCTCAATTCCTACACCGTCAACAGATTCGCACTTAATCCCGTGCTTGCGAGTAAGACCCGAAAACGGGTCACCACCTCGTGGGTTTGCCATGGGAGCGGCCATCTTGGCAGGCTCACCGGCAAAACTCCAGACAACGAAAAATAAAATCAATCAAAAACACGGCAGATTTATACCTAAACTGAATAGAAAAGTAATGACCGTATGCACAAAGTATTAATGAAACAACGCAGATAAGCAAACAGGTAAACTTAACTCTCAAAGAGGTGAATTGTCAGCTAATTGGAGGAGCTCAGTGCAGCAATGTGTGGAGCTAATTAGTATTCATTCATTCATTGAGACAGTCATTCCACTACTATTTACGACGATACTGCCTGCACGATTCGGAGTATAGGAACTAGAGAAATGTGACGTCACATAATACATAAAACAACGTGTCCATAAATCCATGTTAGATACCGACCACGCCAATTAGTGTCACTTCTATGTAATTTTTGTGTGCGATTCAAACTCATTCAATGAGGTTGAAACTCAACGAGTTCACAGAAAAATTGAAGGCTGTGTATGTCACGACAACAGGTGACTAGTAGTACGCCGACAGTTGCTATGCGTTAGAACTATAATATTTTTGGTCCAATAGGAAACACTTCACGTGGATTGTCACGTTCTGGTCCACATTTTCCATGTCATGTATCAACACTAGTGTTTAAGTGGCAAAGACAATCACGTGTTTTGCACAAAACTGGGTGAGTTCATAATAATGTGGTTTTTACACCCGCAGACAACATAGACGGTTTCCTGGAAACACAAACGAATACGAATGTTAAAAATTGACAGAATTGCCATGATTTGCTAGTTTATATTTGTGTTTAAATGTATCATAGATACACTCTGGGGAGTATTGTTTTTGGTGGGAAATTCGTGGAAAGTAGGTGAATTACGAAACAACTGGAAGAGGAACTTGTTATTTCACCTAATATGCTATGGGGTCGTGCACAAATATCGCGCGACATACAGATTGTAAAGAATAAATATTTCTTCTTATTTGTAAATGCTTCTTTAGTAACCTTGTAGTGGGGTTTTAAAAAAAGAATATTACCACAGAGGAACGAGACAATTTCTACGTCACGACAATAGGTGTCTGCATCATCATCAGTTTCGATGCGGTTTAACTTTATATGGTACTGTATGAAATTATCAAATTATAACAACAACAAATTGGTTCTGAAGTTAATATATGTAGCTCACAGGAGATGCGTTAGAACTATTATATTTTTCATCCAAAAAATGAAGACGCTGTGAAAGTTAACAAACACATTAACACTAATGTCATATTTTTTATAGTTACACTCTAAGATCTTGTACAGTAATTGATGGTCTCCTCCGTGTTTTCAGTGCGTTGACTTCCCATTTTATTATTTATTCGAATTCCATTTGCCGACGCGCTTTTTAATATTGTATGCAGCGAAGTATACTTCTCTGTTCTGAATTACTTCGCCCTGGAGAGGTGAATCAAGATGAACCCCCAAAACAATCGCGATTTACAAATTCATTTAGTAACAGCGGATTTTATGAAAGCTGGAATGTTTTTTTCATATAAAATCTTTATAAGTGTTTTATAAATTTTAAATGGTTGAAAATAGTCTGACCATTCACAATACATTACCAAAATCATGACAGTAAATAGACGAATGAATGAAAATCCACGGGCAATGAACGCGAAATCTTTGCATTTTGAATGCAACGCGAAGATCTTCTAAAGTAAATGTTGTACAAATATTATATAAATTTTCATAAAAAAATAACATTACGTTTTAACAATATTTTTAGATTCAAAGTACAAACGTACACATTCACAGGAACACAACATTGTCATCTTCAGATGTTTTTGGTCATGTGATAGATTGTGATTCCAAATGTTGCTCACGTCAACTATTTCTAATGTTCGTATTTGGCTGAACAGTATGGATCACGTGACAATGTGACTACATAAGCTAGACTCAGATGATCGAGTTGCAGTTACACGATACTATTTCTATACACAATTGCTTGTGCTGGTTGTTCATACCATACACGGAGAAGTATTTTACACCTGTGAGACCGGTCAAATATGACATTTTTCCACGTTGAAAAATATACACAGAGATTAACAAACCAACAAGAATCTGCATCTCTGTTTGTAGAGTCTCGGTGTGATATGAGTAGATTACTGCCAGCAACTGATTGTATACCGTCTTTAAGCCGAGTTGTTACGTTAATCACGACGCGTATATCGGCACATCACGACCCGATGTAGAGTCGTGTCTGCTTTGTTGATATATCGTTTGGGGGCGTGTCTCAGTGAACAGTGTGTTCGGCTCACAAACAAATGTATTGCAATACATAATCAAACTCTACCGACATACAGTGTAAATACACCATGATTATTAATACTGAATATTTTTGGGGGTATGTATTTGAGAACATGATTTCGTCTCTATATTCTTCTTATTTTTACGCTCCGGTGATTTTGTTAGATTGCTCAGCTGTTCACTAAATGTGATATAATGTTGGTTAACACGAATTACCCCGAGCAGATTCCTCGAGGGTTTTATCTCATTTGATTTGATAACTGTCTTGCTTAAATCGTCAGAGCCGCTATGTAACGGGTTAAGCATTTTGTAAATAAATGTATTTTTACACGCGTTGTAGACGTCGCATTTTACCCACATCGAACTGTGGCGCTTTTTGTTCTTTTACATGTCTGCATTTTCAGAGTTTTATGCCGAAAGATGTCTAACATAGTTACATATATGGAAAATATTAAAAATATTGAATTACGAGAACGAATGAGTAAATTCAGATTGTGTAACCACAATCTGAAAATAGAGTCGGGCAGGCATACAAAACCTAAAACACCAGTTGACAGGAGGACTTGTAATAATGGGTTGCCCAAAATATCCACGACTTAGGGAGTCACTTATTAAAAAGGCAACCAAAGTCGTCTATGACTTTGAAAATTTAACTATAATAAATGTATCTCACTAATAAATAACGACACTGTTGTGATTCACACTGTACAATTCATTCAAAAGAGCCTGAGAATAAGACAACAACACCTCCTCAGTCATTTAGGTCAACTCATGAATTTCTCAAAATATCCTTTTTTTTCTCTGTTTTGTAGTTTTAGTGACTTTTCTAAGTCAGTGTTGTGTAGATAAATATACTATACTATGTATCTTGACAAGCAATCAAAGTGAACCCAATCGGGTTAAAGATGCAATATGGACGAGAACAGGTAAATTGTAATGTTAATATTTGATGTTATATATTGAAAGATTTATTATGATCTGTAAACGCTATGTGGCACACATCTGAGTATTCGCTCGATGAAACAAAAACAATACGCATGCGCACTGATTGTTTTGGTACATACAATAACATTTACTGCACATTCGCATTAGTGGTTTTGATTTTTCATCTAATTATTACTGTGCTGTTCCCTGCAAACGCAACATTCTTAGTTTATCAGATCCTAGCCCCATTATGAAAATGTATAAATACATATTTTATATTATATGTCAAATGTATACTGTGGAATACTTTATTTTCTCTGGGAATTAATTTTTGCTATTTTCGCTGAAGGAATGATTCAGTGAAAATAAAATCCAGTGAATATACCATTTTTCCTATATTTCACATTCAACTCAACAAAAATCAGTGAAAATAAATTTCATACAAAACACCCCAAAAGTCTTTTCAGCGAAAATTAATTCCAGCTAAAATAAAAGTATTTTATAGTATTACACTATTATTAATAAAGAATTTGATTACAACATTTCATGATATATTGATAATATAAATAATCATATCCGGTGTTCATTGGAGAATGTGAAGTAAAATTAACGGCACCTCATAAATGATAATCGATTTCAATTGTATATTAACTACACACATTAAATTGTGATGTTTACACGTGTAACATATTTACATTAGGTAGACATACGTAAATGTGCGTTTTCTTTCATAACAGAATACTGCAATATATCATACAACGATTAGTATGCATATTTTTACATTTTACCATGGTTACTAGCTCCAGGGACATTCTCAGCTAGACTACGCCGATAATGGACCAATTCTCACTCACATTCTCTCTCCTCGTCTAATAGTTCAAATGTGAAAGACAATGAATATGTGATTTTTAAGATGATATGTCAATTTTTGAAATTATAGGAACCGATTACAGCGTTACGGCCATCTCGTCATGTGCGATATGGGTTCCATACAACATATACAACGCGTGTAACATACAATATTTACACGAAAATGTGAACATTCACGACGACAATGTCTAATGATGCCCTTGACAATTGAACTTATATATGATACTGTTTCAGTGTATGACAAACGGACATTACTATTATTATTATTGAACAAACAGTAATACTTTATCGTTGTGAATTATTTTATAAAATGAATTTTATATTTGGAAAATGAAAAAAAAAATCAAGCTTGTTTTGTTTGTGTGTAAAATACGAAAGGGCAAGGAGTATAAAACAATATTATCACACAATCACGCAAATGATATGGTGTTTACGCCTACACACATCGGCGTAATAGTGCAGGGTGGTAAAACTATCCATTTGTCTCCCATTCATGTTTTATGAAGTGACCTTTTCTTGTCTATCGTTAACCTTGTGTTTGTTTCCGTTACTGGGATGTCAATTACCGTTCGTGGGATTAGTTGAAAATACAGTATATATTGTTTGCGAGAGAGAGAGAGAGAGGGACTGGCAGTATATCGCACTCATTTCAGCATGCGCATGCGTATACGTATTCATAACGCAGTAGAAAATTATATTATTGCGATTGCTTTGCAATTTTATAAAAGTTCACTTCGAATGTAATTGATACAGCATGTTACTGCTTATAAACTGTGACAGGGAACGCCGATTTTAATCAGTGAACATGGGCAGATATGTACAACTAGTGTGTGGAAGAAATACGGATAGATAATAGCGAGGCTGCAAGGGTGAAATGAATACGGCAAATACCTAATCAATTTCTCTCAGCATACAATGACATTTACTGCGGTATTCGTAGGTTTCCAATGACTTCGCGCTAAAAACGAGAGTGGTGCAAAGT